GCCCTTCCTCTCCCCCTCCCCCTCTCTCTCCTCTCTCTCTCTCTCTAATTCTGTAGATAAACATATTGTGCCCACGCCCTTTCTCTCCCCCTCCCCTCCCCTTCCCCTCTATCTCCTCGCTCTATAATTCTGTAGATAAACATTATATTGTTATTTCCCACGAAGAGGGAACTGTAGACAGAATGCCCTCTTCCCCTTAAATTACTTCTGTCTCTATTTCCTAAAATACCAGGGCATCTGCCTACATCCCCACAGTGTAATTATCAAATTCGACTCGTTAACGTTGATAGTATACTATTAGCCCGTTTACAGGCCTTACTCATAATCGAGCCCTTGTCCCGTCACGACCAGCAGCTGCCGGGTGGGGTGACTGCGATCCAGACTCACGGGGCCCCAGCAGTGTCAGGGGAGACACATGCCCCCCACACCCCCGTGAGCTGTGGATGGCTGGTTTCTGGGCGTAGCTTGCCGGGTCTTTCCTCTGAGGTGCCCGCTGGCTGGACTCAATCTTCCAGCCTTCTGACGAGCCGCCTGGCGGGGTAACCATGTGCAACATGACTGTCATCGTCGTGAGCTGCCCTCGGATGGATTTCTGGCCAACAGGGAGCCCAGGCCCTGCCCCAGCCTTGCAGTGGTGGTTAGGTTTGAACACACGGTGCCCTACGCCCAGCCGTCCAGTGGATTCCCATTCACAGCAACCGTGGAGGACAGGGCGGAATCACCCCTCTGGGTTTCTGAGACTGTGCATCTTCTTTTTTTGGGGGGGGGCAATCATTTTTTGGGGGATCTTACAATTCTTATTACAATCCACACATCAATTGTATCAGGCATATTTGTACATATGTTGTCATCATTCTTTTCCAGACAATTACTTTCTATTGAGCCCTTGCTATCAGCTCCTCTTTTTTTTCTCCCGCCCCCCCCCTCCGCCCGTGACCCCTTGATAGATTATAAACCATTATTTTCATATCTCACACTGACCCTTCCCCCATGGTCTCTATTGTTCTTCCTCCTGGAGGTGGGGGTGTGGTTGGGTGTCGATCATTATGATCAGCGCCCCTTTCTTCAGCCCCCCCACTTCTCCCTACCCATCCTGGTGTGGCTACTCCCATTCCTGCTCCTGGGTTGCGTGTGCCGTGAGCCCTTATCTCGTATCTACACCTGTGCACATGCTCCTGTCTAGTCAAAGAGAGAGGCGTCACTGGGGCCATGGGGTGGGGGCCGAGGACGAGGCTGCACATCTTGATGGGAGCAGACAGCCTCGTCTTTCTCCCACGGGGCTGCTGCGGGGCTCAAACTGCTGACTTGGGATTGGTGGTTCACAAGGTCACCGGGGCTCGTGTGCGGTGCCTTTCAATCAAAGCCCAGAATGTGGTTTTGATCCAGGATCCAGTCGCAGAGCGTGTGGTGTCGTTCCCTCCTCCTTTAATCTGGAATCTCCCTTCCAGCGTTCTCCACCTCCATGCCGCAGAAGGGCACAGGAGAGCTGTTGCACGCACTTCAAGGGTGTTTGCTGGTGCTTAGAGGGAAGCTTAGACACTCTTTGGGAGAGGGGCAGAAATACACACCGTGTGACTGTGTTCTGTGCCCCACCCTCCCCAATCTAAAGTCTTAGGTCAGGGCAGCTTGCTGTGACCCTTAGTCGCCCCGCCCCCCTGTCAATGTGGCAGCAGTCTGTCTCATTACTGCTGATGGACACGTTGACCACTGCCAGGCCTCTGTGCGAGAGATACTCTTTATTTTTTGTTGTTTCTTTCTCTTTGTGATGAACAAAGTCTCCGTGGGGAGATACGTTCCCGAAGGAGGATGCAGACATCTGTGACTCTTCACACTAGGTGGTGATGAACCGGGTCTCCATCTGCGGTTGCCATGGCGACCTGTCCAGCCTCAGCTCCTCCCAGAGGGGATCTACCACCTGGCTCCCTCTACCTGGCTGTCTCCTGCCAGGCGGAAGACGTCCTCTCCTCCCAGCTTCAGGCTTTCCGGAGAGCTTTTTCTGAGGGTGTCCCCACTGATGTCAGGGTGCCTGTCCCCCCTCACCTGCGCTAACTTTCCATATGGCCCTCCTTCTCTGTGACTGCGATGCTGTTGTTGATGTCCTGGGCCTGAGGCAGCCAGGACCACTAGGGAGGCTCCAGCCTCACTGTGATTCCAACTCAGAGCGACCCTCTAGGGCTGGGTAAAGCTATCCCTGTGGGGTTTCACGACTGTAATTCTTTACGGGAGCAGAAAGCCTCATCTCCGAGGAGCGGCTGGTGGGTCCAAACTGCTGACCTCATGGTGAGCAGCCCAAGCCGGTGACCCAGTGTGCCCCCAGGGCCCCTTCAGGGCCAGCCCGGCGGGGCCAAACTCCTCGATTGTGAGCACAAGTCACATCCGGTCCTGGCTGAATTTGTCTTCCTGGGAGGTGGGGGTGCGGTGGGGGGACCAGGACACCGGCCTGCAGGCCATGGCTCTTCCATGAGGGTCCCCCAGTCCCCAGAACTGACGGACTCTCTCTGGCAGGGCTGCGAGGAGCGGTTGACGCCGTTTGCCATCTTCCCGGGGCCCTGGAGCGCCCTGCGGGTGAGGGAGTATGGTTATACCCGGCTGCATATCCTCAACGGGACCCACGTGCACATCCAGCAGGTGTCCGATGACCAGGTCAGTGAGGCGGGGGTGGGGGGCGGGGGTGGGAGGCGGGGCCCCAGGCAGGCTGGGTAAACCCAGGGCAACCTGCCCAAGTTCAACCCCTGCCGCAGGTGCTCCAGAGACCTCCTGAACCCCGATGAGCCTCAGTGCTCTCCTCTGTAAATTGGGGATGGTCGTTGTTCCTATCCTGTGGGATGGCATGGGAGTCGAATGCTTTATGAGATGAGGCGTGCTTAGCGCAGCATCCAGAACCAGATAACTTCTATAGCTATTTATCATCATGAGGCAGGGGTGGGAAAAGGCCCGGTGGGGGCGGGGGGCAGGCAGAGGGGAGACAGTAGGATGTGTATGATAGGGACATCTTAGGGTTAGATGGACTAAGTCCTCTTAGTTGTTTTTGCCACTGCAGTTCAAAAATCGTGATCACTGTGAGTTTTTGAGCAGCCGTGGTAGCACAGTGGGTTAAGCACTGGGCTGCTACCCGCAAGGCCAGCAGTTCAAAATCCACCAGGCACTCCTTGGGAGAAAGACGAGGCTTTCTACTCCCATAATGATCTACAGTCTCAAAAACCCACAGGGGCTGTGCTACTCGGTGTTGGAGGGTTGCTGTGAGTTGGATTTGACTCAACGGCAGTGAGGGGTTTTTTGTGGTTGCTGTTTGATTATTGAGAGTTGGAAGACAGGAGATGGGGCCAGGGAAGACACATAGGTAAAAACTTAGACATGTGACAAAACCTTACATCGTGTAACACGTACACCTACCTGGTGTGGGAACTCTCCTAAGGGCTTCACACACACCACCTCCTCTCACTGGCTCTCGCCTCCACTAGAGAGTGACGGTCCTGGATCCTCCCCCCTCCGGCAGCTCTGCCCTGCCCTGTAGGGTCACCATGAATCAGCAGCGACTCGATGGCCCTGAGTTTGGTCTGGGCTTGGAGGTCCTCAGTCAGTGCCCGGGAAATCATGAATAAGTCAGCGCTCGTTTTCCTCTGACACACAGCACGCACTTGCTCCGTTGGTTATGCAGTGGGCTGCTTGCCCACGGTCAGCAGTTTGAAACCACCAGCTGCCGTGTAGGAGAGGGACGAGGCTTTCCATGCCTGTAAAGGTTTACAGCCTCAGAAACCCATGAGGGTGTTTCTACTCTGCCTGGTACGGTCACTCTAAGTCAGAATCGACTCCATGTTTGGAGGGTTTTGGGCATCAGGGTTGGTGTGTATTTCTTTACTCAGTTCTCCCCGTGCCCCCTGCCAGCCAGTCTGTGGTTCTCCCTGTTCTGAAGAAGAGAGAGGTTAGGCTTAGTAGAGAAGCAGGCCACCAGCTGGAAGCCACACCTCTCGGAGGGGCTGTGCTGGGCTGTAAACCAAGGCCTGTCGGTCGGATACCAGGCTCTGTGTTCCAGTCAGAGCGACCTACACAGTGTAGCCCTTAAAGAGCCTTGGTAGCATCGTGGGGTAGGCATTGGGCTGCTAACCGCAAGGTTGGAGGTTCAAGTCCACCAGCAGCTCCTCGGGGCAGAGGCTATATGCTCCATTAAAGACTGACAGCCTCAGAAGCCCTGTAGGGGTCATGGTGAATCCGAATGGACTTGACCTCAGTGGGTTTGACTTTGAGGTGTTCAGTGCTTGTTTGCTGCTGGGATGTCGGTTTTGTTTGTTTGTTTGTTTAAGTCTTTTCTAATGATCTAATCACACCTCTAGCAGAGCTCTTGGGGCATAGTGGTTACTGTTGGGCTGGTAACTACAAGGTCTATGGTTCGAAACCACTGTGCAGCTCCTCCAGAGAAAGACGAGGCTCTCCACTCCTGTAAAGAGTGGCAGTCTCAGAAACTCACTGGGGCAGTTCCACCCAGTCCTCTAGGGTCGCTGTGGTCAGAATGGGCTCGATGGCAGTGCGTTTGGTCTGGGACCAGGCCTCTGAGCTGGACACCGTCATGGTTGTCAGCTCCGCTCTTCAGAGGACAGACGTGAGGCTCAGAGAGGTTTTACAACTTGCCTGGTCAGACAGCTCCTCAGAGGCGGGACTGGGATTTGAACCATGGCCGCTCCTGTTTGTGTGTCCCCCACAGGATGGCAAGATTGTAGATGACTTCTGGATGGTGAGACCCCTGAAGAACCGGCATAAGTACCTCTAGGGACAAGGGCCACTGTCTTCAGAAACCCTGTGCCTCGCTGACCCCGCCGGTGTGGCCAGACACTGCCCAGGCCCGGGTGAGGAGTCCGGGCAGGCCCTGACTCCCCTGCCCTCTGGAGACCCCCTGTGGGGTGGACACAGCCCAGGGGGTAGTGCTCACCTCCTGGAGAGGCGAGGGTCCTGGCTGCCTGTGGAGGATGGGCAGGTGGGTGGCACCGAATGAAACAGGGAGGTTTCCAGGGGGGTGGGCTATAGACTCAGCCCCCCGCATGGCGGACTGAACAAGGCGCCCCACAGGGGCCTTGGGAATAAAGATGTTTTTGCCTGTGGCTTTCTGGAGTTTGTGCTTCTGTGGGAGATGCTCCCTGGGCCCGCTGGCCGGGCCTCGGCTGTCAGGACGCTACTCGCCAGCAGGTGGCGCCAGTGGCTTTCCCTGCTCACCCTGGCTCTGCTGCAAACGTCCCAAACGCAAGGACAACCTGTGTCCCCTTTGACCTCAGTTTCTCCACCGCTGCCTTGTCCCAGACGTGGGGGCGGTATTTGCACGCCTGCCTCTCACTCGGGGCAGCTGACAACATCACAGACCTGTTTGTTTCTTCTATCCTTTCCTCTCTTCTCAACCTTCCGTTCATTCAACCACTGCTTCCTACTGAGCACCTACCTTGTACGTGAAGCCGGGACCTCGACGCTAATCGGTTCTAGAAGGAGCACCGAGATGCCACGCAGTCGCGTCCGGAATCAATTTTCCCCATAAGAGATCACTGAACACGGATTAATCCGCTCTGGACCACCACGTTTTTACCCTAACCTTGCCTTTTCATACAAAACATGACACAGACATTTTGCAGTAAATAAGGTCAGACTTAAATAATATAATTTAAATGAGGAACACAGCATTCAAAAAGTTTTTAACAACTACGCTATGGCCCATACCTTGAGATGGATGAGGGTCTGGATCTATGGACGCAGATGTGGAGAGGAGGTATGGAGAGAGAGTCGTTTGGAAGGAGCATCTCCTTCCATAAAGTTAACTGGTAGCTGCTTTTCAGGATTTGTTCCCCTTCTTTGCCTTTTTTTTTCCGTAGGACCTGGCTGGCTTCCTCAAAAAAAAAAAAATCTGTCTAATGTAGTCTGTTGTTGGTGTTTCCTTAACTGTTTTCTAAAAGGGCTTACTAAATTATCATCAACAATATCAATAACACGGTTAACCAGTTCCTTATGATGATACTTAAAAAAAAAATCTTTCTTAGAACCCATGTTTTTTATCTAAAAACAGTACAGAAAGCCACAAAAAGTAAGAAAATTATAGCAAAATGCTTGGAATACAGCCTCAAAAGGCTTAAACAACACGTACTAACAACGCCAACTAACACCGAGTGACTGAAACACAAATTGGTTTTGTTCACAAAAATCACCTGCATTGGGTCAGATTCCGATGTTTTGTCCAAGCTCTGATACAAAATTTTCTCAACATTTTGCATCAAAATCCAATGATGTTGTGTGCTGATGCAGCCGAGTACCGGGGTTCTACTGTACCAGACAGACAGGGCTCTGCCTTGATAGAGCTGATGTTCTAACCAGGTAGATGATGGACAGTAACTAAACAAGATAAAACCAAACCAAACTGCCTCCACGAGTCAATTCTGGCTCGTGGTGACCCCCGAGGGCAGGGTAAACAGTCCCCGTGGGTCACTTTTTATGAGACTAGAAAGCCTCTTCTTTCTCCCACGAAGCGGCTGGTGGTTTCGAACTGCTGACCTCGAGGTTAGCAGCCCAACCTGTCACCTCTATATCACCAGGGTTCCAGTAATGCTTGAGTCAAATAAGTAACGGGTTAGACCTTGATATGCACAGGCTAAGAAAAACAGGGGAAGGAGGTGGGGCAGGTGGAGTTAAGTTACGATTTCATCAAGGTGGCCAGGGAGACCTCAGTGAGAGGGTGGCATTTGGTGTGAAGGTGGGAAGGAAGGAGCCATGCAGATGGGTACCTGGGGGGAGGTGGAGCCAGTGCAAAGGTCCTGAGGCAGGGGCACTGTCTGTGCGGAGGCCAGTGTGCAGTGATAAGGTCAGAAAGATGATGGGATCGGGCCACGTGGTGCCTCGTGGGCCACCGGTCTCTGTCCTCTGCTTTCCATATGGTGGAACCCCGGGAGAGGAAGAGGGATGGAATCTGATTCAGAGACGGCTTCCCGAGGGAGGCTCTGTCCCAGGCTCAGGGTCTGTGCCGGACTCTCTCACCCTCTTCTGATCTTAGCCCCCCGCCCAGCTGTGTGTCTCCCACAGCCCTCTCTCTTAGCTCCTATCACTCATCACAACAACCACAGGAACTCACAGACCATGGTCGTGACGGTGGGGTTTCTTATAGAAGCCAACAGATCACCGGCTCAGGACACAGTGGTTCAGTCAGGTTCTTTCAGGGCTGTTGATAAATGCTTCCACCACTTGTCTGTCAGTTTGTCATCCTGTGGTGGCTTGTGTGATGCTGGCAGCTACGTCACTGGCGTTTCAAACGCCAGCAGGGTCACCCAAAGTGAACAGGTTTCAGGGGAGCTTCCAGTCTGAGATCACACTAAGAAGAGGAATCATTTGGCTATCTGCTTTAGAGGAATTAAAACTCTCCCTGCCATGAAGTCAAGGCTGGCTCATAGCGACTCTCCCCCATTCCCCCGCCCCCCTGGGTTTCCAAAAATGCAGCTGTTGACGGGAGTAGAAAGAGCGACTGGTGGTTTTGAACTGCTGACCCTGCGATCACAGCCCCACGCATAACCACGGCAACACCCGGGAGGCGTGAGGCACTAAAAACCCTCTGGATAGCATCAATGCATGGTTCGTTCCTGGAAACCTCGTGAGTAGAAGCAGCCCCCTGTCAGCGAGAGTGCCAGAAGATGAGCCCCTCCGTTTGGAAGGCCCTGTAAGTACGACTGAGATAGAGCTGCCGTCCCAAAGGACCGTGATGAGGCCGATGGAATAGAGCATCCGGGGGCCAGACCATCTGCTGATGGGGCACGACTCCGAAGGAGCAGAAACGGCTGCAAACGTCAGTTGACAATTGCAACACGGAATGTGTAAAGTAAGGAAGAGGAGGGGCAGGACAGGGGTCGTTTCCTCCTGTTGAGCAAATGGTCGCTCTGAGTCGGAACGGACTCGCTGGCCCCGAAGAACAACCATACATGCTTGAAGGTTGTGCGGTGACATAATCCGGTGTCGATTTGAGGATGGAGTCCAGTCTGTCAATCAGGGCGCAGCTTGATGACCTCATTTGGAGGTGCCGAGGAGATAAATAGCTCACCGGAGGCTGGACACACCCTCGCTCCCTGGGAGACATCCCTGTGGAGAAGACCCATGGAGAGAGGCTGATGGAGCCAGACCTCTGGAGTCAGAGAAGCCACGTGGAGACCCCTGCCAGCGCTGAGATGCTTACAACACCACTGGATCCACAAGACCTTCCACCCACTGCCCTGTGATCTTCCTGCCTTCGGCATCATTGCAGTGTTTTGTGAGCCTGAAGAGGAATTTATAGATTGGTATCGGACAGGTGGGCTAATATCAGACTGATGGACTTAATCTGGACTGGGCTGGGATGTTTTCTCAATATTCAACTGCTCTCGTCTGTAAAGCTCTTTCCTATACACCTATGAAGTCCATGAATTTGTTTCTCTAGTCTACCCGGACTCGCACAAAGGTCTTGCCACTCCACTGGAGGCCTCAGCCTGGAGGCACCCAGCTCCAGGCCCGTGGGTCAGAGAACCCCGCTCTCTGAGGCTCCCTATCCCACAAGCCAGCCTCAGCTTGGCTTGCTCTGTGGGCTGGGAAGTCCACCGCTCTGATTGGCGCTCTGGCCCCTGGTCTGCTGCTGCTGCTCTAGTGTCACGGAGGTCTCCTGAAGCCAAGAGGATCACTCTCGGGGTCCAGAGGACCCACTCTGCTCCTAGACCTTGGTGGTAGTGACTCCCCCCTCTGCTTCTGAGAGGGCCGATTTGTACTCAGCAGGAGCCCTGGCGGCATCATAGTTAAGTGTTGGGCAGCTAACTGCAAGGTCAGCAGTTCAAATCCCCTGTGGGATTATAAAGGGACTTTTCCCCAGCTGTGCCTCCCCCAAAGTTATGCCAAACATTAGAGGCTGTTTGCCAGCATATGGTGAGAGGTCAGATGCTTAGAGACATCCTCCCTGAAGGCAGTCAGTTGCCCGACTACTGTCTGGTCCCACCACAAGAAGGACCCACTCTCTGTTAACGACAATGGGCTACTTCTCCCTAAAGGCTTGTGACCATTAGTCTGGGCACTGTGGGTGGAGTTTACACCCTACTGATAATGGTTTCTATGGAGAGCCAGAGACCAGGTCAAACCTGCTCAGTGACATCCAAAGTTAGGCTGCCATCCTGAAGCTAGGATCCGCCCATCTTGTCACATATGCACCCCAATACATCCACTTCCTATTGCTGGATACCCCTAGATCGTCCCCCTCTCATTACTGTATAACCTATAGTGCAACCCCTTCCTGTGATATATATCTTTACCTGTAATTAGGGGGCTTGCATGCCCCCCAAAGATAGCTAAGCCTGGGTTGCAATAAAGAGCTCTCTCCCCCTTACCCTTCCTCTCTCTCCCTCATCTCCCTCTCACCCTGGTGCTCTCCCCGACTCCCTCTACTCTCCCCTTGGCTCTTCCAGTCCTCGCTCCCCTGTTCCCTTTCCCCTTGTCCTGCTTCCCCTCCCCCTCTCTCCTGCCCTCTAGTCTCCCATCTCCACGTGGACCACCAAGCGTGGACCACCAAGCGGGGCTGAGGTGAGCATGCTACCATGAAATGTGTCTGACTCCATTATTTCAATCTCTCTTCTATCTCTCATGCTTTATTATAATCTGTATACATCTCAACTGTACAATTGCGCCTATCGAACCCACGATTAGTTGTGGGGGCTGGCCTTTCCCCCACGATCCCCCAGCTGCTCTGCAGGGGAAAGATGAGACTTTCTATTCCCGTAAAGAGTTACAATCTCTCAGAAACCCACAGG